TCGTAGTTGACGCTCTCCAGCTGCGCCTGCCGCTCCTCCTCCTCCTCCTTCTGGGAATCCTGGCGGGCGTTTCGGGGGTCGGGGAGCTCTCCCAGAAGGGCATGGGCGCAGGCGGGGTGGCCCTCGCGACAGGCGAGGTGCAGGGGGGTGTGACCACCCCGTTCCCGAACCGTCACGCCCGCACCCGCTGCTCTCAACTTCCAAACGGCCCCGGGCAGCCCCAGCACCACGGCGATGTGCAGAGCGGTCTGGAGAAGTGAAAAAATAAAAAATTCATCAAAAATTTACCCCAAAATCATCCTGAAATTACCCTGAAACAGCCACAAAAATCCCCCCAGAAATAACCCCAAAAATTCCCCATAAAGTGCCCCAGCACCACGGCGATGTGCAGAGCGGTCTGGAGAGGTGAAAAAATAAAAAAAATATTAAAAATTTATATAGAAATCATCCCGAATTAACCCTGAATAATCCCGCAAAATCTGAACAAAAATAACCCCAAAAACACCACAAAAATCCCCCCTGAAATAACCCCAAAAATCCCCCATAAAGTGCCCCAGCACCACGGCGATGTGCAGAGCGGTCTGGAGAGGTGAAAAAATAAAAAAATTATTAAAAATTTATATAGAAATTACCCTGAAACAGCCACAAAAATCGCACCAAAAATCACCCTGAAATAACCCCAAAAATCCACCCAAAATCCCCCTAAACTGCCCCAGCACCACGGCGATGTGCAGAGCGGTCTGGAGAAGTGAAAAAATAAAAAAAAATTATTAAAAATTTATATAAAAATCGCCCTGGAATTACCCTGAAACAGCCACAAAAAAAAACCCGCAAAATCCACCCAAAATTAACGCCAAAAATCCCACCAAAATCCCCATAAAGTGCCCCAGCACCACGGCGATGTGCAGAGCGATCTGGAAGGTTGAAACAATAAAAAATATCATCAAAAAATTTATATAGAAATCATCCTGAGATAGCCCCAAAAAAACCCGCAAAATCTGAACAAAAATAACCCCAAAAACACCACAAAAATCCCCCCTGAAATAACCCCAAAAATTCCCATAAACTGCCCCAGCACCACAGCGATGTGCAGCACGCTCTGGATTGGGTGAGATCGGGGTTAAATCCCTCCGAAATCACCATAAAATATCCCCATAAGATCCCAGCCCGAGCGCGATGTGTAGGGTGCTCTGAGGAGCGCGGAGGAGTCACAAGTGGGGTTCAAACCCCACCCAAAATTCCCCCACAGCCCCCACTGCACCTCCACCCCACTGTGACCCCAAAACTTCATATTTCCCCGGCTCCCCATCCACCCCCAACCGACGCTGTAAAAACGTAGGGGGTCACAAGAATCCAAATCCCCCCGGGACCCCCAAATTTTCCCC